CCTAAACCTTTAACCCCAAATCCTAAATTCTAAACCCTAAATCCTAAACCCTAAACCTTAAATCCTAAACCCTAACCCCAAACCCTAAACCCCAAACCCTAAATAGTGCTCAGTAGAGGACCTGCTTCGGCACCTGATGGCCTTCCCGGGCGACATCTCGAGAGTTTGGCCAGGGTGACAGGGTTTTTAAGGCTTAGGGTTTAGGGTTTAGGGTTTAGGTAGTGGGGTTTAGGGTTTAAGGTTCAGGGTTTAAGGTTTAGGGTCTACGGTTTAGGGTTTAGGGTTTAGGGCTTTAGAGGGGGTTTTAGGGGTTTTAGGTGTTGAGGGTTTTACGGACCTTAGGGCTTGGGCTCGTTAATTCTACTTCGGGTTGGGCGGCGGTCATGAGGCTTTTGAAGCTTTAGAATCTCCTTGGGACTTAGCTTGGACCTTAGACCCTTAACCCTTTGGGATTCCCTTATATTCCTATTATAGGTAATTAAGGGTTAACCCTTAATGGGGGTCCTAAGTGCCAAGTAGGAATTCCGAATTAGACCTTTGGAAGTCGTTAAGCTGAGGAGTGGATGCCTGATTATTTTCAACTTTGTTGTGTCTTGGTTTAGGGGTTTAGGGTTTAGGGTTTTAGGGTTTTAGGGTTTTAGGGTTTAGGGGTTTAGGGTTTTAGCGTTTAGGTTTTTGGGGAGACCCCTAATCCAGAACCCTCCGTAAACCCTGAGCCCCATCCCCAGAAACCCTAAGTGCCTGAAGGTCCCGCCTGCAAGCCTAAATTGTAGCTGTGTACACCTCCAAGGCAGACTGAAGACTTACGGACCCTCAAAGGGTGTTGTACGGATTGTATGGTGACATGTACAGTTTAGGGTCAAAACTATACACTTCCCCCAACTAACATGGAATCGCATGTGTGCTTCATTCAGACGGCAGTCTACAATGGACATTTGCAGCAGGGTAAATCCTTACGCCTCTAAAACAGATGAAGGATTCATCTGGGATGTGTACTGTGCCCAAGCGACTGCCAATGAATATTACTTGCTCAAAGCCTTACACTCCAAATAAAAAGTCTCAACCCCTAAGCGGTAAACATTGTAGCCTAAACCCCGGGCCCCATGCCATTACTTCCTCAGTGCCTTGATCTGCGGACCCCTGGTAAAAGTCAACGTACGGGACCTTCAGAGGTGATAACGGCAGGAGCCTAAACAAGTACCACTATTCTTCCTGGTCCTAAATAGGCCTAATGGAAGGAAAAGTTCTTTAGGCCCCTGGATAAGACGCAATCATTCGAAGTTATTAGCGTGTTCCTGATATGGTATCCTCGGCAGAATCCCCGTGCTAGCTATTAGAGGTAGGTGGCATGAAGTCCCTAAACCCTAAACCCTAAACCCTAAACCCTGAACCCTAAACCCTAAACCCTAGACCCTAAACCCTAAACCCTAGACCCTAAACCCTAAGCCCTAGAAGTCAGAGAAAGTACCTTAAGCCCTGAAACCTAGACCTTAGCCCATGATTACGTGCGACTGGCTCTCCTTTAGGGTTAAGGGGTTTAGGGGTTTAGGGGTTAGGGGTTTAGGGTTTAGGGGTTTAGGGGTTTAGGGGTTTAGAGGTTTAGGGTTTAGGGTTTAGGCATTTTTGGGTGCCACAAAGCTTGGCCTCTGTCCCAGCAGCTGTGCAAAGTCACTGGCGCAGACGCTTGAAACAATGAGACCTGCGCCCAGTTTGAAGAAGAAGTGTGCTCTTTTTCTTTCTGGGCTTCCCTTGAGAGGTTTAGGGTTTTGGGAGTATAAGGTCCTTCCACCTGAGGTGTTTCCTCAAAGCAGTTTTTGGGTTGAGGGTTTAGGCTGCATATCTGCTGGTCGAGACCATATAGGCATATGTCGAAATCAAATTCAGAATCCCTTTGACCGGTGCTGCTTATTCCCCTTGCCTTTCCCCGCATTCCAAACCCGGGGTTCCCTGGCAAAGTGGAGGGCTGCTTCTTAGGTGGTTTGGAGGGGCATAGGAATCTCTTCCCGAAGCCCCTAGGAACCCTAAACTCCAAACCGTCAACCCCGAACTTGAAGCCATAAACCCTAAGCACCACCTCAAACCCTAAACCCTAGAGGGTTAGGCTTTGGGGTTTGAACCCTAAATCTAAAACCCTCAACCTTCATGGCTGTGGGTCTGTCAGCTTGATTCGTGGGCTAGGTCTCTAAACCCTAAACCCTGAAGCCTAAACGTACTCCGGACCTCCAGGTCACCCTTGGAATGCATCCGCTCCCCCTCTATCTCTGTCTCTCTCTCAGGCTTGGCCTGCGGGTTTCTCGGGGCTTGGTAAAGGAGGTGAGTTTAGGGCTTAGGGCATTCTACTGCAGCGAATGGCCAGTACCTACTCAAGCTATTCGATGTGGCATTTATAGTCCCCCTTAAGTAGATAGGATATGGCTTTGGGTATATGATAATAAGATCCCCGTATACCCCATATTCTGCCTACTTAAGGGGGACTATACAGTTGCTTCATTTTTGCACGGCAATCAGCACAACAGCCTGAAACTAGACCGCGTCTCGTGTAGCGAGCTTCGCATTGGGATCAGGCACCTGATGCAGAATACTGACAAACCCTAAAGCCTTAGACCACGGTATTGTAGGATGGCAGTCTTGACAACCAATATCTCCAATTCGGGGAATATACCCTAAATGACCCTAGGTTTAGGGTTTAGGGTCCAGGGAGTATAACAGAATGATACTAGGTATCCCTGCTCCTTTGATCAAACTTGCCGAGATTTGTGATCGTCGTAGCACAACCCGACTCATAACTGGGTAACCTCCAGAAAGCCATTCGGGTGAATTATTCTTACTGTAGTAAGCCTCGTTATATGTATATAGTTAGTAGTTGCCAAGTCCCCTATTCTTTGGGCTAATCCCAGGTCACAAAAAGTGGCATGGTAGGAAGACAGTCTATGTAGCTCCTAGCATACTTCCAGCTATCTCTAGAGATAGTGACAATGAGTGCTTTGTGGCCTGACCCAACCTAGTCTCTAATTCCTTAAATTCCTTAAAAGGAACCTTGTAGGACTTCCTCAAAAGGAACCTTGTAGGACCTCTAT